CCAGATAGTGACGTAGGTATGTGGGGGCGTGTTAGAACGAGCCGTTTTAGGTAGGCGTGGTTGACTCTTAACTTTTATAAAGAATATCTCTTTGGATTTGAGACTTTAGTCTTTGCAACTTTACAGATCTTCTTTATGCACCAAGAGCTTGTTACACTCCAAAGAGAAAGGAAAACTTGAAATCGCATCATATGACCCCTTTAAATCTTTATATTAGCTTTTTTAAAATGCATAAAAATTTTAATTCATTTCAAAATATAAAATATATATTTAATTTTTTTAGATAGATAGATAGATAGATAAAATATAATATTTTATATCTAATCATAGTAAATAAAACATTTTAACATTTCTTCATAAATTTATTTCTATTTATTTCCCTATATTATAATCTATATTATTTCCCTTTAATTTATGAATTTATATATTTCAAAATATATTTATATTTATATTATGTTACTGATCATAACATGACAGTAATTATTGTATCGAAACAAATTTTCGTACCAGTGCATCTCCAGAAGTGATGGAAGTTTGTTTATTTGCTAGTGAATTCACCCAGGCCTGGTGTTCTTCTCGAGTGTGAAAAATTCCGTCACATCATCACTCTCATCAGGGCGATGCAGTTTGTCTTTGGCACCTCGAGGAGTGTCAGGCTCTCTTGTCAGCTTTTGCGGCGCTGCATTTATGGGGCATGTCTTTTCTGCGCCTCATTGCTGCACCCGCTGATGGAGGTCTGCCATTGGCACAGAAGCGGGTCAGATCAGGGGGGCATGACTCATTGTCCTGCCCTGATCTATAAGAGGCCCACATCTATGACTCATAATCCTGTTAGTCATCACGTAGAGACATGTTATAGCCACTGATATGTCGCTCTGGGGGTCGGCATCCTCACACGCATCACATCCAAAGACAGCGGGGCTATTCGTATCTCATTTTGATGAAGAAATAATGCTGGAAGTTGGGGTGATGAATTTATTTGGAGTTTGGAACAAGCATACAATCCCCAGTCCTGCTTTAATTCATCCGCTGACCGTGCCAAGTGGGTCGAAATAGTTGGCAGAGAGTCGCTTCACCCCAAATCACTATTTTCAGTCTTGTTCGCTTCGTTTTAGCGGGGTATGTGACCCTTCCCCTTTAAGGTTACTTGAAAATGTTGATGGCACAAACAAGCAAATCGTTTTTCCGTTCTTAGCCGCCAGGCTCATAAAGCGCCCTTCTTGTTTGCGGAAGTGAGTCTACGTTCCCGGTCTTTTCCAGAGAACAGCTCTGACATTCGAGGAAAGCCCTCTCTGAACTCCGGTGTACCGTTTCCTGTCGGCTCGGGTGCCAGAGGGCCTAAAAGCTCTCCAGCAGGCTCTATTTTTAGTCGCCTTCCTCTCCCACAGCGGTCGCGGTGTTTGCAGAGTGTGGTGTTGGGACAGAGGCCCACATGGGAATCATAATGATACAGTGTCTTCATCTCCCTCCGCATGTTCAGATAGGGATTGTTTAAAGAGTATCCTGAGCTGGGAACGGGTCCCATGACAACTCCATAAATATTTACCAGCCACACACTGCAAGAGGGTTTTTTGTCTGCAGGCTACCTTTCCGTGTTTTTCTTTCACTTGCTCTTGATTGTTGTTGTCTCTTTGTTTTGTTATCTTCTTATATAAGGAGAACTTCGACTTAGAAGAAAGAAACGTACAGAGGCATGAAAGCACATCTCCTTTCATCTTGTCAGTTTCTGGATGAAGAGTATAAGACTTCTCTGGATCATTAAGAGCAAATGTGTGAGGAATGCAGCATTAGTGCTTAGGTTCACGTCAGGTCTTGACAGCGCTCTGATGCAAAGCACTAACTTTCGCATTTCTGCTTTATGTCCTAAAATTCATTCAGATGATTAGTTTTCACCTCCATCATTGAGTGTAAAGGGGTCAGCCTTTAAAAAGATAATGAGACGAGATACAGAAACAAATATTATGAAATATGAAATCAAACACTGTGTAAATCACTCATTTTGCCTATGGTGATACTGTCCAACAGCGACACCAGCAGATGACGTTTCAGGTGGAGGTAGCGCTTAAATTAATAGAGCACCTCCATACCTCCATGTGGCCATAATGATACCTGTTTAACAGGGATTTTCTGTACGAAAAGATGACAAATAAAAGATACACAAAATATGCTTTTTTGTATTATTGTATTTATGTAGATTTGAAGCCATGTAAAAAAAAAAAGGCATCAGCTTGATCAGACTCCGTTACCCCATATGGTAATACCATGGTACTTTTGGTGTTCTTTGTTTCATTAATTTGTGTTACATGTGAAAAAATAGGTTACGGAGCATTTTCCAAATATGATAACTATAACTGTACTTTAAACATGGTGCACTACCGTTCAAAAGTTTGGGGTTGGTATGAATTTTGTTATTTTTATTTTTTTTGAAAGAAGTCACTTATGCTCACCGAGGCAGTGAAAATCCAACAAAAACAGAAACATTATGAAATATTACAAATTAAAATAACGGTTTTGTATTTTATTATATTTTAACACATTATTTATTCCTGTGATGCAAAGCTGAATTTTCAGCATTATGACTCCAATCTTCAGTGTCACATGATCCTTCAGAAATCATTCTAATATGCTGATTTGTGGCTCAAAAAACATTTCAAATTAATGTAGAAAACTGCTTCATATTTTTTTAGAAACCATAATACATTTTTCCAGGACTTTATGATGAATAAAAAGATATAAAGGGCAGCATTCATTTTAAATAGAAATCTTTTTTTAAACATTTTAAATGTTTTCTTTTGATCAATTTAATGCATTCTTGCTGAATACAAGTATTTATTTCTTTAAAAATATACCAACTCTTGGATGGTAGTGTAAATATACACACTAGTTCAGTTTTTTCTGAATGACCTTAGAGTTGTTCCTCAATTTTTCAGTGTATTAATGGCCAGGATATACAGTGGTGTGAAAAAGTGTTGGCCCCCTTCCTGATTTCTTATTTTTTTGCATGTTTGTCACACTTTAATGTTTCAGATCATCAAACAAATTTAAGTATTAGTAAAAGATAACACAAGTGAACACAACATGCAGTTTTTAAATTAAGGTTTTTATTATTAAGGGAAAACAAAACCCAAAACTACATGGCCCTGTGTGAAAAAAGTGTTTGCCCCCTAAACCTAATAACTAGTTGGGCCACCCTTAGCAGCAACAACAGCAATCAAGCGTTTGCGATAACTTGCAATGAGTCTGTTACAGCGCTGTGGAGGAATTTTGGTCCACTCATCTATGCAGAATTGTTGTAATTCAGCCACATTGGAGAGTTTTCGAGCATGAACCGCCTTTTTAAGGTCATGCCACAGCATCTCAATAGGATTCAGGTCAGGACTTTGACTAGGCCACTCCAAAGTCTTCATTTTGTTTTTCTTCAGCCATTCAGAGGTGGACTTGCTGGTGTGTTTTGGATCATTGTCCTGCTGCAGAACCCAAGTTCGCTTCAGCTTGAGGTCACGAACAGATGGCCGGACATTCTCCTTCAGGATTTTTTGGTAAACAGCAGAATTCATGGTTCCATTTATCACAGCAAGTCTTCAGGAAGGGGGCCAACACTTTTTCACACCACTGTATGTAGAGTTAATTTCCGTATACATTTTGATGTAAAATCGTGGTTTATTAATGAAAGTAGCTGCATTTGAACTGCCCATCATATCTGCTCATAGATGACGGGAAGATCTTCCATGGAAGTGGAGTAGGAGACCAGTTTGGCCCTCGCTGTTTTGAAGGTGACATCATGGGCTGTGGAATAATGTTTCCTCGGGACTATGTGCTGGACCATGAAGGTAAGAACACGTATGTGGTGCAGAAATTTCCCATTTTCACATTAATGCCAATGCATACTTGAAAATACATACTTGGGTCAATTTAGCATGCTTGTCAGGACTGTAGTCCAAGTTTTTAGATGTGCATCCAGCTCAATTGGTTTCTCTATCAGATGAAATGGACGACTGGGATGCTGCTGATGTACGACCAAAGCAGGGGCGTGTCGAAAATTTACTATATTTGAACGATGAAGACGAGGAAGAGGGAGATGATCCAGAACAAGAACATGAGGGCCAAAAGGTTATGGTGAGTATTTTTTTTAATGTTTTTATGATATAAACAATTTGATTTATTGTAAAGGCAGATTCAGATTTAAAGGGATAGTTCACCCAAAAATTGTCATTAATTACTCACCCTCATGTCATTCCAAACCCGTAAGACCTTCGGAGCACAAATTAAGATATTTTGATGAATTCTGAGAGCTCTCTGACCCTCCCATAGACAGCAAGGATCCTTACACGATCAAGGTCCAGAAACGTAGCAAGGACATCGTTAAAATAATCCATGTGACATCAGGGGTTCAACCGTAATTTTACGAAGCTACGAGAATACTTTTTTTTGCGCAAAAGAAAAAAAAAACGACTTTATTCAAATTTGTCTCCTCCGCATCACCCTATAGCGCCATTTTGTGGAGAATATCCACTGAACATAAACGGCGTATGTGTCAGCTGCGCCACGCGGATACGTTTTCTACGTTGTACGTACGCTTTGATTTGAACGAAAACAACGTATCCGCGTGGCGCAGCTGACACAAAACAGCATATGCAATTTACGTTCAGTGGATACTCTCCAAAATGGCGCGGAGGGTGACGTGGGGGAGACGAATTGTTGAATAAAGTCGTTATTTTTTTTCTTTTGCGCAAAAAAAAGTATTCTCGTAACTTCGTAAAATTACGGTTGAACCCCTGATGTCACATGGATTATTTTACCGATGTCTTTGCTACGTTTCTGAGCCTTGATCGTGTAAGGATCCTTGCTGTCTATGGGAGGGTCAGAGAGCTCTCAGATTTCATCAAAAATATCTTAATTTGTGTTCCGAAGATGAACGGAGCTCTTACGGGTTTGGACATGAGGGTGAGTAATTAATGACAGAATTTTCATTTTTGGGTGAACTATCCCTTTAACATAACAGGAATAAATTACATTTAAATATTTTGAAATAGAAAACCAATAATTGTAATAATATTTCATAATATTACTTTCACAGGGTTTTTAATCAAATAAATGTAGCCTTGGTGAGCAAAAGAGACTTTTTTTCCGAAAACATTAAACATCATATTTATTTCTAACTTTTGACCTGTAGTGTGTGTATATATTTTAATGTAATAGTTTAATGTGTGTTTGTTAATGTATGTATGTATGTATGTATGTATGTCTCCTAACTTAATGACTTTTTAGGCCACGAAATAAATTGTTACTTCTACTGAAGTGCTTAAAGCCTCAGTTCTGACAGCTAAAACAAATTAATCATCGTTATTTGTTGTTTTTAAGCCGGTTGGAGTTGGTCATTCATCAAGTCAGATGTTTTAAGCTTTTCAGAAGATTAATGCATTGAGGTCTCCCAGCGGGACGTTACACTATCAAGAGCCTTCCATGTCAAAAATTGCACTGCGCGACTCTGTAATAATCGGCGAGTTTCTGACTGTCGACTCGACATGATGGCTTAACCACAGTGCTGGTCGTTTTTGCCCACTGGGTGAGAGTTAAGATGCTCGCTTCCACACTTATGCAACAATACTAATAAGCTCGATGTCTCATAAGAGCCATCTTCTGAGGGTACAGGATATCCCAGATGCGGACAAGATGAATTTGTTTGGAGATATTTCAGTCAGTCGCCTGGAAAGGCTTATTAGTTCTAAAAGAACACCGAATACCCTCAGTGCTCAAAAACAGATGTTTGCCAAGTGTTTTCTTGTCCTCATAATGTGTCCCGAAGAGTTTTGGAACTAGCGTGTAGCAAGACCGTCAGACGCCCAGTCTCAGCCCTGTAGCTATGGAAATGCTGACTCACTCTCTTCCCTCTCCAGCTGTGGAAATGCTGACTCACTGTCGCCCCTCTGTGCTCATCTAGGTGTTCTTCACCCGGAACGGCAAGATTATCGGCAGGAGGGAAGTGGTTGTCCCGGCCGGAGGGTTTTACCCCACTATCGGGATGCTCAGCAGCGGAGAAAAGGTGAAGGTGGACCTCCATCCTCTCAGCGGATAATAAACGAGGAACTCCACATCTCCAATCCACAAGCGGATGGAAAAGACCCAAAAATTTATGCTGAGATTCCTCTCGTCTTTTTGACATTTCAAGGCACTTCAAAATGCAAGTTTAACACGTCTAACACTCCAGTGCATGTTTCATCTACAGCGATCACCTCAGCTTCAAACCACATATAGAGGGGTTTGTGGCATCAAATGGTTAATATTGGGCCTCAAAAGAACTGTTGACCGAAAAAAAGATACATTTTGTTTATTGAAAATGCGTAGAAAATATTAAATTATATATTTTTTATGTACATATGTAAATTTACGTATTGGCTGCTACACAAACATTTATTTAGCAAAATCAATCATGATATTAATAAACAACTAGACACCCTAGAGAAACAAAGATATGGCATGAGGGTGTTAATAATTATTAATAAATGATAAATACATATAATAATGTTAAAAATAACTTCAGCGTTTTCCACAAGCACTCCCTCTCACAAATGACTTGTGAAGGTGATGAAAGCATATTATGGTTATTTTTCTTATTGTGATTCGTGCCATTTTTCGCTATTATTTCTATCTGAAAATGAGCGGTTGAGGGGGAAGGTGTTTGCCAGTGGATAGCATGGAGTAATTGCTAATTGTGACGTCAGCGGAGGCGAGTTGTATTGTCTCCTGTTGTGTATCATACACTCTCATCCGTCATCAGGAAACGCATGATGAGAGAGCAACACACCGAATCGGCTACTTCATGTTTATTTGTTCATGAATGCATCTTAAACCAGTTATGCTTATTTAGTTCAGGCTTTTCTGTGAATGTAGATTTTTTACATCAGCTTGTGGACATTTTATCAGATATTTCAGGGCAGACGCCACATTGGAGTCGGAAAACATGGAGCTGTTTATTCAGGAATTGTCCACTGTAATGTGAGCTAGTCTGGTTCACAAATGCTACAAGCACTTTAGAGACGCCTCAACTTAAGCTGATAGTCCGATGGGCGAGCGGCTGTGATGCTGCGCTCTAGACTTCTCAACAGATGCCATTTTGCACACCTCGCTGTTGCAATAATGCCCTTCCTCTTCTGTCCTGTTACATATCACATATTACATATTTTGCCAAATTTAATGTCGAATTTTGTCCCTTTCAATATATTTTCTCCTCCAACACGTTTTATAAACAAAGTTTGAATTATATTATTTTTTTCTCTATATTGCCATAATTTAGTTTCTTAAGTTAAATCCTAGTTGAATCTCAGGATGTTGGTTATGTTCAGAATGAGATACTAGCTTACTGCATACTGCACAGTGTATACTGTATGTCTACATTTTTTTAAGAATTTGAGAAAGTGCAAAATATTGGAAGCTTGTTTTGGCCATGGGATTTAAAAAAAAAGGTCATTGACTTTTTATCTAACAATTCAGACTTTTTTCTCGCAAAAAGTTTGTACCTTACAATTCTTTCTTTTTTTTCTATTGCGGAATAGAAACTCACAATTCAATACAATTCTAAATTGTGAGATAAAAAAGTTGGAATTACCTCATTAATTTTTAATTCTGTGGCAGGAGCAAAAAAAAAACTTAGTGAGATGTAATTGCAAACTTGGAATTGTGAGGAAAAAAGTCTGAATTGTGGGAGAAAAATTCAGCATTCCAAAGATTTTTCCCTAATAGTGAGAAAAGTCAATTACTTTTTTTTTTTTTTATATTCCTTGGCGGAATCTTCCTTAGAAAACAGTTATTTTAAACTTTATTAATATTTCACAATATTACTGTTTTTACTGTATTTGTGATCAAGCGGAATCGGGCTTCCATACAAAATGCAAAGATAACTTATATTGTTGTCACATAACCTCACCGCATCATCTTGAATGCAGAGAGTGAAATTCAGTTGTTGTATGTGTTTTTTTCTTACACAAATTTGAATCAATATATAACTTGTTTTAAAATAGCAGTGCGATCGTATAAAGTAAGTTAGTGTTCAATGGCCATTCTGGAATTGGAAGGTCATGCTAAGTGCAATGCATTGTGGGAAATGCTACTGCACTGTGCACATTTTGTCATTTCTATGCGTAAATGTTAATGCTATGCACAGTATACTGCAGAGATAATAAGAATGGTATGCTATTCTGAATATAGCCATAGTCGTATTTGACCGGATGCATGGGGTTTCAAAGCACCTGCATCATTGAATAAGGAGCTTTGATTTATTCATCTGAAAGTTCCGCAGTGATTTATAACACCCTGCATGTTTATCATAGACTATTTTCTACTACCTAAAATACAGTAAAAATGAGAACTGATGAGAAAAATGGTCATTCTAAAGAGAAGAATGGGTGTCACCGTCTACTAAAGCCTTACCATTTAGTGGTGAAATGAAAATTCCAGATCAGATCATTTAACATAAAGAATTGCTTGTGTTCCAGACATAAATTGACAGCACAGGGAAGCCAAAACCCAAATACCTCTATCAGTTAAGCTTATGCAAAAAGCCAAGCGGTTGTCCTCTCCAAGATCATCTGAATTCCTCCACTGGAATGTGGTTGCTTCTGCGCATAAATGGGCGATGATCGTTTTGCTTTCACACAGTCTTCTTACTAAATGGAGACTTGTGTTGAAGATGTTGATGTGTTGCTCTAATTGTAGCATGCACTCTTTTGCTAATGTGTACATAATAAAGACACGGTTATTTCCACACAAACTGTACTTGGGATTGCAGTCAAATTCCTTTTCATACATTTTATACCTCCAGTGATGCTATTTCAAAAAAAAAAAAAACATTAACCCTTTGAAGAAGTTGATGTATTTTATGCATAATTGTCAACTAGAAATGAATTCGAGACCGTTTTGGTTTTGTGTGAACATTTTTACTTGGTGTAAAGTTTCATGACCAGAGACATTGAAATTTAGGTTTTTCCCACTGATAATGTCCATCTCGGCTCAAAATAGATACAGCTACCATATTCATACAAATATTTAAACTGCTGTTGTTATGTGTAAATGAGATTGCTCTGGCTCATACTAATAATAATAGCAGGACACAGAAAAAATGTTAAGTTGTCAAAATGTGACCAGTGGGAAAACACTAATTTTTGAATAGGTAACCGAGTCTAATTATAAAACTGCAGATTTCAAAGTGTTGCATTAAAAGAAACCAAGTTACCAATTATTATGCATTTATTCTTGGTATATCATATCCTTTTCCCAAACAATTGCATGTTAGTGATTTTTATATAATAATCTCATATATATATATCAAAATTACTAGCTTGTTTAAAGTTTTGTAGTGAGTTTTATTGAGCAACTGATCGATTATTAACTGATTTTCCCACTGGTTACAGTTATGGCCAAAAATAAACGCCATACTTTACTTTTTTTTGTAAAAATGAGAAGAAAAAAAAAGACATTAAATTTGTTTCATGCTCACTTGGCTGGGGGAAAAAAAAGTTATAAGTACCTCTGTAGAAAAATAATACTCTCACTTCAGATTTCGTAGTAAATTTATTTGAAACAAAAGTATTCCAAGATATTTGGTCCCATGATAAAAAGGTGACATTTAAAATAGTTAAATAATACAATTTTGCAATAAGCTAAAACATTCAAAGGTTGCCAATCCTATCAAATGTGA